GGCCGCTGCTGGAGCCGGGGCTGGAGCGGCCGCCGAGAGCGGCCCCTCGACGGCGGCGGCTCGGGCCGGGCCCACGGCGGCGCTGGACCGCGGCGGGGACCCGCCGGGACCTGTTGCACGTGCCCAGCACGATGGCACCGGCTCAGAGGTGGCTGCAAAGCAGGGCTGGCCAGGGCACGGCGGCGTGACGGGCGCCCACGGCCCAGCTTCCCAGTCAGCAGCAGCTGTGGCCGCCAAATCCCCAGCTGCTGCACCCAAAAACCCTTTCATCCGCTTCAGGAAGGCCAGGGTGAGAAGCAGCAGCCCAGCCCTCCCAAGAGGTGGTGATTCCCCAGCCGCTGTTCCCGGGAATGCCTCCATCGGCATCGGCAAGGACGGGCTGAGAAGGAGCAGCCTGGTGACCTCCAGGGCCAGTGATTCCTTGGCCGTGGTGCCTGGGAACAACTTGGTGCACACTGGCAAAGAGGAGGTGAGAAGCAGCAGCCCAGCGGCCCCCAGGGCCCGCAGTTCCCCAGCCAGGACACCTGGGAAGCCTTTCATCAGCATCCACAAGAATGGGGTGAGAAACAAGAAGCCAGTGACACCCGGAGCTAGCGATTCCCCAGCCACTGCTCGTGGAAACCCCTCCATTGGCAAGGATGGGGTGAGAAGCAGCAGCCCAGCGGCCCCCAGGACCAGCAATTCCCTAGCTGCTGTGCCAGGGAACTCCTTCATCAGCATCCGCAAGGATGGGATGAAAAGCAGCAGCCCAGTGGCCTCCAGGGCCCACGCTTTCCCAGCCACAGTAGCTGGCAACACCTCCATCGGCATCAGCAAGGACAGGGTGAGAAACGGGCTCCTGGCAGCCTCCAGGCCGGGCACTGGCTCCCTGGGGAACTCCACGGAGCGGCACCCAGAGCAGCCCAGCAAGGACATGCCAGCGGGCACGCTGGTAGCCAGCAGCTCGCAGCGAGCCGCCCCAACCGGCGGTCCCTGGCACGTAAGTGCTGCCCAGGGCACCCTGCGCAGTTCCCCACGAGGCCTCGGCACCCACCGCGTCCTGGCTGTGGATGTGACGCTGGCGCCTCGGGACCCCCGCGCCCCCGGGCAGTTTGGGAACGCTGTGGCCGTCCCCGCGGAGAAGCAGGAGGAAGCGAAGAGTCGGTGGAAGGAAGGAAACTTCAACGTCTACCTCAGCGACCTGATCCCCGTGGACCGGGCCATCGCGGACACGCGGCCCGCTGGGTAAGAGCTGCTGCCCGGTGCGGCGCTGCCCGGCTCCTGGGCACTGCGCAGGTCCCTGCGCGCTGCCCGCGCGGGGCTGCTGCTCCCAGCACCCGCTGGTGCTGGTCGGTTCTGCTGGCTGCCGCTTGCGCTTCGAAAACCCAACCGAGGAGCCCATGGTGGCCATGCAAAAGCCGAGGGCGACATGGAGCAGGAGGGCAGGGCCCTCCAAGGGCTCCATCTCTGGGCTGCTGGCATGGGACCACCACGGGGGAGGTTGGGAGCGGTGCAGACAGAGGTGCCCTGTCCACCACTGGTCACCAGAGCTCTCCTGGTGCTGGGAGAGCAGCGAGCGCTGGGGAGCATCCGCCTGTGCACCCACCTGCAGCGCAGCCTCCGGGAGGGAGATTCCTGGTATGTGAGTCACGGCCCCGGGCAGGGAGATCCGGCCGCCGCCGCAGCGCGGGCAGCGCCCTGGCCAAACAAAGCGGCTCGTGGCAGGGTGCCCATGGGGCGAGGAGCGCACAGAGCGCGGCAGCGCGGCCTCCGCGGGCTCGGCGGCTGCTTAGCGCCAGCCATGTCGCACAAAATGCTTCACCTGTGTCTGAGAAACTTTAGTATATAGGAGTAGTAGCATAGTATTGTATGTGACTACGTATGTGTGTATATATAGCCAGCAAAGTAGCGGAGGGCAAACTTCCAACTTTTGTAAAGTCTTTAGCTACAGTTCAACAAGAGACCCATTGGTCTCTACCTGGAAATCCTGTTTTTTCAGGCTAAAAATGGGAAAAAGAAGTTCTTGCATTTAAGAGAATGCCACCCCTACCATGAACATTGCCACCACCAGCTCACTTGGTGAAACAAGAAGTGGGTGTCCGTGCGCTCTGATGGGCACATCTGTTTCCTGCCTGTTGCTGAAAGTAGTGTTGTAGGAATAGTGGTTTAGACTCATCGCTCATCAGTGAATGTTCTGCATTAGCAGATGGGTTGGTTGCTGGCCCTACCTGTAAGAGATCGGCTCTGGCAGGGAAGGAAAGGAACCCCTTTCTCAGGCTCCCACTTAGGGATGAGTGAGAGCAAGAAATCCCCAGAAATCTATGGGCATTATGGGATAAAATACGGTATTTTGAGGGCAGGAGTTGTGCAGACATCTACATGCCTTCAGCTCGCTGGGAGATAGGAGGGAGCAATGGTCCTCTGGGGTCCCCTCAGGCAAAAGCCCTGGTTGAAATGAGAAGAGCGTTTTTTGGTGTGGAAAATGAACACATCCTGCTGAAATTGGGATGCTGGAGCTTCTGCCCCTTGAGTTAAGCACAAAGCAAGACCTGTCCTCTCTGTGCTGCTTGGTCACCATCCAGCAACCTGTTTCAGAAATAGCCCTTTCCGTGCATTTCAAACCCCTTATGGATGCTCTCCCGCTGCCGAGTCGGGTTCCGTGCAGCAGGGGATGCGGTGGCCCAGGCTGCTCGCCGCGGTCTCGGCACGAGGTGGTGAGCGTGGCGGTGCCCTTGCAGGTGCTCGGAGCAGCGGGTGCACGACGACCTCCCCACCACCTCGGTCATCATGTGCTTCGTGGACGAGGTGTGGTCCACGCTGCTGCGCTCCGTGCATAGCGTGCTCAGCCGCTCGCCCCCGCACCTCCTGCACGAGCTCATCCTGGTGGACGACTGCAGCTCCAAAGGCAGGTGGAACCCTTCCCCATTTACCCAACCCAGGTCGCTTGAGACTAAATTCCATGTAATTGGGTTCTGCAGAGCAGGAAGGGATCACGTTTCCTTTGCTGGGGGTGTTGAGGGTGCCTTGGGGCTGGGCGCTTGCTCAGAGGGTCCCTGTTCCCCTCCTGTGCCCGTCGCCATGGACTTTCCCCCGGAGCTGGTGCCAGGAGCAGGGTGCGCACGAGCAGAGCGGCTCAGGGCCGCAGCAGAAGCGGCGGCTGCGTGGGCACCCGGCCCGTGCTGTGCGTTGACGTGGTGCTTACGGGAAACCTCTGCTCCCTGCTGGCCTCAGCCCTCGGCAGGTTAAGAACTAAGCAGTTTTCTAGCCCCAGGGAAGGTGCGGTACTGGGTGAGCGTTGGAGCCTGTCCTGAGAGCTGGCGGCCAGCAGCAGAGTGGGTGCAAGAAGCAGGGAGGCTCTGCTTGTTCCTTTTAAAACAGTCTGCATGAGAGCTGTGCTGGGGCAGCTGTGCGTTGGGCTGAGGCCTCACAAACCCTCACCCCGGAGCCCCTCAGAAACGTGGGAATTGCTCAGAGGAAAAGATTTGCACCCAGATTGTCATGGCAGTCAGTGTCACGAAGAAGAAAAACCAGTTTCAAGGCCTTTGAGCAGCTGCCGAATGCGCCGATTTGGATCACACAGCGTCCACGGGAAGCAGGGGTTGCCAGCAGCCACGGACTGCCCTTGGGGTCTCCTCACTGCCGCCTCCTCCTCCTCCTCCCTAGGCTACCTCAAGGGCAAGCTTGACAAGTACATGTCGCGGTTCCCCAAGGTGAGGATCCTTCGCCTGCGCGAGCGGCACGGCCTGATCCGAGCCAGGCTGGCCGGGGCGGAGATGGCCAAAGGTGAGGGGAGGCCCCGCGCGCGGCGCCGCGTTCCCCGATGCGCCGCATTCCCCGCGCACGGCACCGCCTTCCTTGCGCACGGTGCCGTGTTCCCTGCCGTGCTCTTTTGCCCAGCGTCCCATGGCCCTGCTTCACGAGACGCTGCCCCGGGCATCGCGCGGCGCCAGGAGCAGCCCCCGTGCCCGGGCCTGGCCATGCGCGCGCCTCGCCCGCAGGTGACGTGCTGACCTTCCTGGACTCGCACGTGGAGTGCAACGTGGGCTGGCTGGAGCCGCTTCTGGAGAGGGTCCGCCTGAGCCGCGCCAAGGTGCCCTGCCCCGTCATCGAGGTCATCAGCGACAAGGACATGAGGTAGGGCTGCCAGCGAGAGCTGCACAAGGGGTAGGTGGGCCTCCGTGCGCCTCCCGCCTGCCTCGCACGCCGCGCGGGGATGGCCCTGCGTGAGCCGTCAAGAGCCCTGCCAGCAGCTGCAGCAGCTCCGCGTGTCAGGGATACCTCTTAGGGGCTCTGAGGAGAGGATTCCTCGTGAAGTCTGTTAGAATCTTGCCCTAATTACATCATCTCTATGCCCTGAGGCCAGCGTTTCTGCCAGGAGCGCAGCTCAGCACTAGTCATGCCCGTCTCTCCTCTCTCCAGCTACATGACGGTGGATAACTTCCAGCGTGGGATTTTCACTTGGCCAATGAATTTTGGATGGCGACAGATTCCCCAAGAGGTCATTGAGAAAAATAAAATGAAGGACACTGATGTCATAAGGTAAGAAAGCTGGATTTCAGAGTCTCAGGAACCAACCACTTGGTTTGCTGGCACCACAGCTGCCGAGGCGCCCAGCCCCTTGGGCAGCCCTGTCAGCAGGGCCAGCGCTGCTCCGTGCGGTATGTGCTTGTGTGTTGCAGTTCCTGGCCTTTCTAAAGGTCTCGGGGCTTTAGAAAGCACCGAGTTTCACCCCAGGGATGGGCTCCTCTGCCTCGTCACCAGCCTCTTCCCCAACAACCCTGTGCTCCTGTCTCCCACATGCAAACCTGGGTGTCTCTTCGCAGGTGCCCGGTCATGGCAGGTGGCTTGTTCTCCATCGACAGGAGGTATTTCTTTGAACTGGGGACGTACGACCCGGGGCTGGAGGTTTGGGGAGGTGAGAACATGGAGCTTTCCTTCAAGGTAGGTGGTCCCGGACAGCCCCTTCGTGCGGGCAGGCACGGGCCCGGGCTGGCAGTGCCCGGAGCGCGGGGCGAGCGTCTTGCTTGGTGTCTGAGATGCAGGGGTGCACATGAGCGCGGCGAGGGCCACGCGCGAGCCAAAAGCCAGGCCGTGTCGCAGAATTGGGTGCACAGGCACCGCAGCGCATCGTCGGCTGGCATGTCCGTCAGAGCAGTGTCTCTTTTCCAGGTCTGGATGTGTGGAGGAGAAGTTGAGATCATTCCGTGCTCCAGAGTTGGGCACATTTTCAGGAACGACAACCCCTACTCCTTCCCTAAGGACCGGATAAGCACAGTGGAGCGGAACTTGGCTCGCGTGGCGGAGGTCTGGTTGGACGAGTACAAAGACTTGTTCTATGGACACGCTTACCACCTCATCCTGAAAAACCTGGATGTCGGCAACCTGACGCAGCAGATGGAGCTGCGGAAGAAGCTTCAATGCAAAAGCTTCAAGTGGTACCTGGAGAACGTCTACCCGGACCTGGAAGCTCCCCTGGTCAGGTCTAGCGGGCTGGTAGGTACCCAGGTGGTGACTGGGCTTGCTCTTGCTCACTTGCGTGTGCTTCCGTGGCTAGCTGCAATCTGGCAGCATTCGGATAGTCGTGTGCTCGGCACTGCTCTGGGGGGCAGGAGGCCCGTGGTTGTGCTGCTTCCCTTGGTCCCTTGAACCAATACGTACCCTTTCTACAGACGAGGCTTTCCACACTGTTTCTGCACTGGGAAAGCATCTCTCTGAATGGTGTTTCTCTATTCCTTTTCAAATTCATATTTGGTAACATTTCTGAATATTGAATGCATCATGGTCTACACTTCCCAGTATTTTTATAAAGACAAAAGTGACAGTTCCAGGAGACATGTCCATCAAGGAACCTGCTGAGCGTCCCAGATGCAGCTGGCTCGTGCAGGACACAGTAGCTCTCCCCGCTGCAGGGCAGAGCACGGTCCCTGGGCTCCACATGGCTCTGTCACCGCTGCAGGATTGACGCGCTCCTTCTCCGCTGGGATTCCCAGCGCTGGGCGCACACGGTGCGGTGCGGAGGACAGCGCGGCCGGAGGATTTCGTGCACCGGGGGTGCATGGCCACTAGAGCGCAGCAGAAATCCATGTCCCTGCGCTGCGCAGCGCGGGCCGTGCGCCTGCTTTCCCGCCAGCCAAGCACCAGGGAGTCTCCGCACGATTCCGATGCCGGCAAAGCGCAGCCGGAAAGCCCGCTCAGCGCAGCTCTGCTGCACCAAGCCATCCAGGCACTGCTTCTTGTGCCGTGCCCCTCGCCAGGCTGTGCCCTGCACTGGGCTCATCCGTACCGCTGCGCTGCCTGTGTGCAGGTCACTTCACCCCTATTGAGAAACGAAGGAACCGGGAACAAAATGTGTGTCCTGACCATGGCCTAGGCAGAGTCGGGCGCTTCTCAGAGCGTTCAGGAACCCAGGACGCCCTGCCCAGGAGAGGCGCCCAGCTTAGCACACTCCATTTGCCGCTGCAGGAACCAGCGTGCGAGGCTGCAGTGAGGCTGCAGCGGTGGCAGGAGCCAGGGCAGCTCTGTGCCATCCCGGCCGCGTGGCAGCCGGAGCAGCGCCCGGAGGAAGGGGCTGGCGGAGCAGCGCAGGCGGGGAGTGGGGCCGGGCTGGGATCAACTCCCTAACCAAGGAGCAGCGCAGCCGTCGCCATGTCCTTTGAGGCCACTCGCCAGCCGAGGGGCGGCGTGGAGGGAACCTGGGCTCGGCTGCCCGGCTGCAATTAGCGCTTCACGAGCACCACAGGTGTGTTGGGCAGGAGCTTGGCAACCAAGGGAGGAGGATGCTGCCGCTTGGAGATGCGGTGGGTCCAGGTGAGAAAGCTTCCAGGAGCTGCACCTGGGCACTGGAGATCACGTTTGGTTCCACTTCTGCAGAGCCCGTGGCTCCAAGCAGAGGTTGGCATGAGCACCATCAACCAGGGCTGCTCCCGCAGCAACCCCGTGGCCCAGCTTCCCTTTGGAGAACACACAGAAGCTAGTCCAAGGCTTCGGTGGGACAGCAGCTTCAGTGATGGTTTTCTGAAAGCAACTAGCAGTTATATTTCTGAGAACATCAGGAAAAAAAGAAACTTTCCTGAGAAATACTTGCTTTTTCAGTTCCAAGTAGCTCTCCCATTTCAGTCAGAATAAAAGTAAACATCAAGCTCAGCACTAAGACCTCATATAAGTACAAATGTTTCAGCCAAACTTTAAAGATTTGCATTTACAAAAACTTTGAAGATTTTCTTTGCCTCGCCTCAGGCCACCTGAATCCCTCTTTCATGCCTATTCTCAAGGCTTAATAGGGCAGAAAATCTGGTTTTCAGCAAGCTATGTGAGTTCCAGCATTGACGAGAGTTATTTGAGAGCTATTTTCTGAATAGCATATTTATTCCCGGGATTAGTGGATAAACCGTTGAGCGGTTCTGGAGAGGAACAGGAGCGGCCGCGTGCAGGGCCGCGGGCAGCCGGCCCTCCCGCTGCCCAGTGCCGGGCTGCGCCGGGACGCGCCGAGGGAGCCGCGGGCCCCGGGGACGCGCGGAGCCGCCCCGGCTGCGGGACGTCGCTGCAGGGTTCGGGCCGGGAGCCCGGGGAGGCCGGCCCAGCTCAGCCTGGCACCTCCAGCTCGGTGATCGGTGATCGTGTCGTGTGCCCAGCTGCCCCGGGTGCCCATCCGGCCACATGAGCCACCCGCTGCGGGTGTTTGGCCACGCGCTCTTTACCCTACCTGTGCGAGAGAGCAGCAGTTTGGTTAAAATGAGCTTAGCGGTGATGCCCCCTGCAAGGCTGCCTGCTTTGGGGGGCACGGCTGCATTCCCCCTTGGGGGCAGGCATCAAGCAACCACGAGGAAGAAGATGAGGCACGAGGCACTGAGCGCCCATGCGCAGCATCCGTGTGCGCTCCACAAGCCCTCCTGCGGCGTGCCGAGGCGTGGGGATGTCTCTGCTTCCTTCAGCCAAGCGGGCAGCGCTGCTCGCTCTCCTGGGACCCCAGCCGGCTGATGGTGGCCTGACAGCCTCTCCTGCCTGAAACTGGGTGCGTGTCTTGCCTTCCTGTTCCTCACGTCCACTCTGGTGCTCTTTCCTAGCTGGTCAACATGGGCACGTCGCAGTGCCTCGCCGTGGAGAACGGCACGCTCGCCTTGGAGACCTGCGACGACAGCAGCGTGGTAAGTCAGCCGGGTGCCGCGTCTCCAGCGCCATGGGGTGCCCGGCGCGGCGCAGCCGCTGCCCTGGCCGGCCCCGCCGCTGCTGCCATCCTGCCTGGTGCGCCGGGAGATGCAGAGCAGCGCTGGGGACGGCTGCTGCAGACCTGCATGAAGCAGCTGCCACCCTAACCCAGAGCGGGGTGTCTAGTGGTCCAGGGCAGCTGCACAGGTCCACACGGGCGGGAAGGGAGGTGAACTGCAGAGCCGTGCATGCAATGCAGCCTTTGCACACTGATGTGCAGCAGCACGCAAGCGGGAAGGAGGGTATTGGGCTGCACGGCTGTGCATGCAGTGCAGCCGTGCATGCTACCGGGACGCGCAGCAGCGACGCTCTCTCCTGCCTCTCTGCAGAAGCAGCACTTCAACTACACGTGGCTGAGGCTGCTGCAGCACGGGGATGCGTGCGTGGCGCCGGCCGGCACGGCCCTGGCGCTGCAGCCCTGCGACGACCGCAACCCCCGCCTCAAGTGGCTGCACATGTCGCTGGCCGCCCGGCACCCTGATCTGGTGAGTGGCTGCAGGCGGCGTGTCCAGAGGCCGGGCCAGGAACTCGCTGGGGTCTGGGACTTGCTCAAGGAAGGGGCTCGCTAGGGCCGGGGACTTGCTGGAGCCAGGGGGTCACTATGGCCTGGGACCTGCCCAGGAAAGGGGCTCGCTAGGGCCAGGGGGTCGCTAGGGACAGGGGTTGCTCCCAAGGCTTGGCGTTTGCCCAATGCTGGTAGCCAAAATCCTGGGCTTATGCGGAGTGAGCCCCTAGCCCTTCCCTGGAGGTTACTTACTAGTTATTGACTTGCAAACTGGATTTTGGAACAAAACACAGAAAAGGAGGAGCAGGGGCACTTGTGTTGCTGGTGCTGAGAAAAGCAGGCGAGCCAGTTGTGCATGAGTGTCGGCCTTGGGCAGACAGTGGCCGTAGGAAGCTCCAAGCCTTCCCCAAGGATGGGGCACATAGAGGCTGGTCAGCAGTGCGAGTCCCTTGGTCTGTCGCCGGCTGGGCTCGCTCGAGCCGCAGCTGGCCGAGCTGACGGGTGCGATGGGCCCTTCCGAGGAAGGGCGGCCGGTTCCCTGGCCACGTGAACACCCCAGAGCTATGGGGTCTGCTCGCAGGGGCGGCGCTGGGAGGCGAGGACCTCGCGGCCGTGCGCGGGCTCGCGGTTCTGCTGCCCCCGGGCGCTCACGGCTCTCCCCGCAGACGGAGCACGTGGTGGCGGAGCAGCAGGGCCCGGCCGCCTGCCTGACCGCGCGCCCGGCCCCGCGCCTGGCCGCCTGCGACCCGCACAGCCCCCAGCAGAAGTGGCGCTTTGCCAACTACCACGTGGACTGAGCGCAGCGGCCCAGGGCCGCCCGTGGAGCGGCACCACGAGAGCGACGGCGGCACCGCTCCCTGCCGCAGGCAGCACCGCTCCTCGCACCACAGCTCCCTCCTGCTGCTGCACCAGGCCTGGATTTCCCGTTGGGTGTTGCACCGTGAGCCCGAGGCGTCACTCAGCACCTGTGCAAGGCCGTGGGGGCCGCTACGCGCCCGGCAGGCCTGCAGAGCACAGCCGGTCTCTGTACAGCTCCACGTACACTCAAATGTGCCCATGCGCACCCGCTGCAGCGGCGCAAGCAGAGAGACGAGCACCCGGCGTGGGCACAGCCGCTGCACGTCACCGCTGCAGCACCATGCCCTGCCTGCACGCTCGCATTGAGCAGAGCAGGCTCGCGGCACCAGGCTGGCACCAGGGCGCAGTGTCCGTGCTGTCCCGCGGGCAGCTCTTCAGCGTTTGCTGTGCGCTGGCTGGAACATGCTCGCCTGTGGCAGTGCCCCCGAGGAGCCACCCCTCCCCTGCCCTCTCCAGGGATGGAGCTGCAGGGGAGCCATCGCACCCAGGAGCGTTTCCCATCAAGGAGAGGTTTCCCATTGCCGAGTTTCCCATCACCGGGATTTCCCATTGCTGGGATGTTCCTCAGCACCAGGAGCTCTTATCAGCAGGCACTTTCCCATCTCGGGGCTGTCTCCCATCATCAGCAGGGGTGCTTGTGTCTGAGTTCCCAGCCTGCTTCCCACGGAGCGGGCGCGGGGGAGGCGCATGCCGGGAGTTGGGCAGCCCCGCGACCGGGGAAATGCCAAGGGGAGCCCGGGCCCTGGACCAGTGGCTACGGCTGGGGTCCTGCTTGGCCTGTTTCCAAAAAAAATAGTAATAACAATTTGGAAAAACTGAGAACAAATGGCATTACAGGAAGCCTTTTCCACGGCGTGCCTGTGTTAACTCTGCTACCCTACCTGCAGCCCTTTCCTGGCGCTTTCCCCCTGGCTTTGGCGGGATGCAGACTCAGGAGCGCGGTGCAGCTCCCCCTGCGCAAGCCACCCGGCTCAGCAGATACTGCCGCCTTTGAGGAGCCGGTGCCCCGGCGCGGGCCGCGCGGCGGGCAGAGCCGCGGCTGCGGAACAAGCGGGCAGTGTGCGCTGCCGCCGGCGGCGCCTGGCACACGCCCGCCGCCAAGGACAATGCCCGTACAATGCGCGCCGCCCTCGCTCCTGGCCGCGCAGCCCGCGCGCCAGCACACAGTCAAAATAACACGGCGTGCAGCTGGGAGTGCAAAGCCAGGAATGGAAACAGCCCCTGGGCTGGGGATGCCACCACTGCTCCAGCTCCACCTGTGTCCGATCCCTGCTCCCCCTCGGCTGCTCACAGCTTCCCCTTTCTGCTCTTTCTGGGTGACATTCACAAACCTGCTCCATTTGGGACAAATCTTTCTGGAAGACATCTAAAAAAGACTTTATCAATAACATTGCAGTTACACAATTTTGTTTTTTTTTAATGAAGATCGGTTGTATTCAGATGACATGAAAACAAATCTTGCTCAAGACTCTTCTTGCTTTGACAAATGTATCTGCAAAGTTTCCTGCCACAAAAGGAGGAGAACCCGTGCGAGAGCAGGACCCTGCACCCGCCGTGGTGCAAAGCGTGGCGCCCGGTACCAGCCGAGCGCGCGGAGCGGCCGCGCGCCCCGCACCGGCACCGCGAGCGCCGGGCCCGCGTGGGGCCTGCGGTGCGGGCACAGGAGCCGCACCGGCACGCGCTGCTGCTCGCGCTCCCTGCGTGCTTGCTCTGCTCTTGTCATCCGCAGTTGGCTGCTGGGGAAAAACAAGCCCTTCCCTGTTAGTCTGGCAGATTTAGTGCAGTTTTAGCAGGCGGACTGCCCCCTCGGGGGCTTTTGCGCAGTTGCGGCAGGGTGTTTGGGAGGCAGACGTGGCGAGCCAAGGGCCGCTGCTCGGGGCTGCCCGCGCGCCGGCCGCACCGCGGCTGCAGCCGAGTGCACGACGCGCACCGTGCAACCCGGCTGCAAGCGCCGGCGGGGACGGAAGCATCAACGGGAATCAATGGCATTAAACATAGCAAACTCGTTATTTATTTCCTGTGCCAGGGTGTGGGTTTACCTGGCACCAGGGTGGAAGGCGGCAGTTAAATTTGCACGCTGTGTTATGAAATCAGGCTCGGAAGGTGCAGCGGCAGCTGCGTGTTGTGGGAAGAGATGTCGGGAGGAGGACCAAAACCAAGGTGAACTTTTAGCTTGTTCAGGAAACTCTGAGCTCAGTCTATAGGTGCATCATAGATTCAAACTCATCGATTCGCTGCTTGGTGTTTCCTTTCCTGATCTTCCGGTAGGAGATTGTGTTGTATCGGGAATAGCTGTGTCTAGAGATGTCATTTTTCTTCCCGGCACCCGGTGGCTCCCCGGGCTTCTCGGGCTGGGAGTTGCAGGTGGGGCTGCCCGGGGGAGAAGCCTCCTTGCCATTTTCCTGCTTCTGCATGCGAGACTCCTCACTGTTCTCCTTCTTGATCTCTATCAACTGGACTTCATCCTCCTCAGTGTCCTCCTCCTCCTGCTCCTCCTCCTCCTCGTCCGGCCACACTTCATCCCCCAGGTGCTCCTCGGCCTCCAGCGTGGAGGCTCCTGCTGCCGGGCTCTGCTCCGAGCCCGCCCCGGCCGGCTCCGTGCTCCTGGGCTCTGGCTGCTCCGTGCCGCCCACGGGAGCTCCCGCTGGGCCCAGCCCTGCAGAACACAAGCAGCAGCATCGGGCTGAGCAACCGCAGGGATGCACTGCACTCCCGCTCCCCTTGTGTCCTGCTGGGAGCCCAGGCCCTGCTGCTGCAGCAGGGACACGTGGGGTGTTTGCAGGCACCGGGGGACGTGCTCACCGCAGCACCCTGGGGATGCACCGCTCACCCGCTCACCACGTCCCGAGGTGGCAGGTTGCACCCAGAAGGGTACTGTGCAGCGCTGCTCTAAATGACACAACAAACAGGCTATTGAGTGCTCTGTCTGTGGGGCCCTAAGCACTAATTAGACCCAATTGGCTGGGTACTAACGAGCCGGCTGCAGTTGGGAGATAAAGCGCCGGTGGGTGCAGAGGGACAGGATCTCAATGGGTCTCATTGTGCTGCGAGGCCGCAATGGTGACAATGTTGGCCGCACCGCAGACCACCCTGCCAAGGCCCAGGAGCTGCCTTGATATCCTGCTGTGCCCGGCACAAGCGCCCCTGGGATCTTTGCTCTCCTAGTCCAAGCGCCACCGCTCTCCGTGTGGTGATATATGGCCCAGTGCCTATATCTGCTCTAACTGTGCCTGAGGAATCGGATCCTGCACAGCGCCGTGCCCGGAACCGCAGCAGCACCAGCAGCCGTCCCCAACCCTCCGTGGCAATGGGTCGCCGAGCACCATAACGTACGGCTGGCCAAGCTCCCATCACGCAGCGTCGGGCATTACCTTCCTTGGATTGCTGCCCGGCGGCGGCCGTGTCCTGGGGAGGGAGCCCGGCTGCTCCCTCTGCTTGAGTCGCATCGTTTTCTTCTTGGTTTCCTTCAGCGAACAAAGCGCAAGGGTTGGACTCACAGCATGATTAATGACAAGGACTGCCTTTCAGCCCTTTCATACAGGCAGCTCATTTTCAGAACAGATGAAAAAATAGCCCGTTTCTTTAGTCACCTGCTTTTCTTTTCATTTCTGTAATTGCCAGGACAAAGTTGTCCCTAACTGAAGGATTTGGGGACCTTGCTGCGACTATTTGCAGTAGCACATGGAACACACTGTTTTTTGCAGTACTTTAAATAGCAGTTTTTCTGCCCGATACGGAGTAGGGACCAGCATTGCACCTTACCTTCACCCCGCCTCTCCCCACCTGAGTTGCTGCACGTTGTGGTCTCGGCCGCGGCGCTTCCGCATCTCTCCTGCGCTGGTTTGCCGGGCGCGGGGCCGGCCACGCTGTCGGCGCGTGCGCCCGGCCCGGCGGGGATCGCCATTTGGTCGATGATGCTGATGACGGTGCTGGCGGTCCCGTTGCACTCGAGCGCGCGGGCTCCGCTGGGGACGTCGTCGGCCATGAGCACGGCGGCCGCGGGGCTCGCGCCTCCTCGGGGACAGGGATGGGGATGGGGGAGGCGCCGCTCGCTTTTCCCCGGGATTCTCCCCTGGCAATGGGCAGCGAGCGGCTCCGCTCGTGCCGGTGCGAGGTGCCGGCTGCTCCGCTCAGCGCCGCCCCGGCTCGTCCCCTTGCGCAATTAGCGGCCCCATTGGGATTTGCATAAACAAACGGGCTGCGCGAGGGCGCTTTTGTGCCGCCCCCGCGGGTCCCCCGCGGGACAGGCAGGTCTTGTGCGTGGGACACAAGGGCTCTTTGTGTCGTGCCCTGCCGTGGGGACAACGCTGGTCCCAAGGCTTTAATCCGCGCAGGGTGACGGCTGCTGCAACGTGACTTCCTCGTAACCAGCTTAACATTCCCCGTGGGGTTTATGTGCAGCTCACCCCAGAACGCCGCGCTCGGACAGGGGCTCCACGTGGTACTTGTGCCGGGATGAAGTCCCCCCGGCAGGGCCCGGTGCTCCGCGCGTGTCCTGCAGCAGCACTTGCCATGACCCTGCAGCGAAGTGCCCGCGGGGACTCGGCCCCGAGGAGGGGCAGGAGCGTCAAAACCTAACGCTAAAGTGACACGTGGTGACAGCCCGTCCCTGCGCCCACGGGGCCGGGCACTGTGCTCAAGAGCACCTGCACCAGCCGCATGGCAGCACCAGACACACTTGGGTGAACTTGTGTCATTCAGCAGACCCAAACCCTTCTGATCATTTCTGACCATCTTAAAATCAACAACCTTACACTATTAGGAAAACGGGTTTGGGGTAATGGTTGGAAGAGTTCATCCAAGAGAAGCAAGTGGCAGCACATTGAAAGCAGCTCCGGTGCCTCTGGAGAGCAGCTGGGTCTCTGCCGCAGGCTGGGAATGACCATCTGCTGTTCCCACCGCACCCTCCTTATTCCTGAGCTATTCCCAGTGCCCCTCGAGCGCATTCCCGCTTGGCAGGCCATATCCCACGTGTAGGCATCGCAGTGGGCAGTGTCCCCGAGCATCCCCCTGCTCCGGACCTGCTGGCCGGGCTCTTAGGGGACCACATTGTGGCCGGCACGTTGCCACGCAGCGCACGCGCCCGCACGCAGCCCCGCGGCGGCAGTGGCAGCGCAGCAGAGCGTGCATGCGGAGCGAGCGAAGCAGCGGCACCCAGTGTGTGCACCCGCAGCGGCACCCAGCATGTGCACCCGCAGCGGCACCCAGCATGTGCACCCGAGAGGTGCAGCTGCCTGCGACACGCGGGACATGTCAGAGCTGCTGCACAAGAAGGGAAACGAAATCACCCTTCTGGTGCGAAAGCAGAAATTAGCAAACACGCGCAAGCACCAAGGCAGAGGAAAAAGCAGCGATCCCCGAAAGTGGCACAAAAGTGGTCACCGGAAGGAGGGCTGCCCCTGCTGAGCCAAACCGAGATGGAGCAAACCCAAGAACGTGCAGAACCGTGAGGCCGAGTGGTGAAGTGCAGAACCTCTAGTCACCTGGTAGCTGGCAGGACTGCAGGACTTGCGGGGGGGAAACAGTTTTGCAGGATAACAGAGCCTTGAAGACAACGTGGTTCCCACGTCCTACAGCATTCCCAGCAGTCACCCCCGGCGCGGCACCGCCGGTGCCACATCCTGTTTGCACTCGCAGCCCTGCGCACGGCGGCCCTGCCGTCCCTCCCGACACGCTCCCGCACCCTCCTCGGCTCCCTGCAGGCTCTGTGGTCCCGACGCACGTCCTCCGCACGGCTCCCACCACCCGCCTGCCCAAAGGCCTGGCCATGCAGAGCTGCTCCGCTCCCCCGGGATGCTGCCCAGGGAGGAGGGCTCTCGGAGGAGCCCTGGGGAGGAGGGCTTCCCCAAGCCCAGCGGAAACATCCCCGCTCTGGCTGGAGGTCCCTTTGGACACCAGGCTGATAACCTCAGGCACTGGTGGGAGTGGAGCGGGGAGCTGTGATTCCCAGCAGCTCTTCCACAGAACTGCTCTCCTGTGACCTACTTAATCTCTTTACGAAACATTACAGGAGCCAACACAGATGCTGCTCGTTCAGCAGCATTTACTGGCTAGAAAAGTGTTGGGGTCAGGTTGCTCTTATTTGGGGTGCATCTCCAAGGAAGGGCATTGGTTTTATTTTGAGGTTTCTGAAGAGACTCGGAAATCCTGTCACAGCCATATCTGAATTGTAAATAACTGCCTATTTTCAGTCGAAAGGAAGATGAGTCACAAAGGGCAAGCAGCTAAATAGATTTACATTTTTTTCAATTGTATTTGGAAAATACAATTACCTTATGTGATCTACACTAACAACCTATTTCTGTTTTGCATGATGGGGAAATAAAATACCTCATTTGCTTCACGTTTATACCCATACTTATTAAATTATTTCACATAAACTATCAATTTAATCTTCACTTCCTGAAATCTCTGTTGTTGGAGAAATGTAAAGAGTTAATTATCTTTTCTGCGGAACAACCCAGCTACCAGCACCGGTGCTTCCTGCAGCCTTTCACACTACAGGAGATGTGATTCTGCGCGGAGTTCCCCTGGATGTGTCACTGCATCCAGAAGCAAAACAGCTCTGCTCATTCCTGCAGAACCATCATCTGAGATGATAACTTCTTTAACCTTACAGAGATCAAATTTACCAGACCTGGACATGTAGATCACTGTATGGCCACAGGCATCTTCTCAGCCCTGCCGAACTGCTGGTGAGCCCGTGCCGTGCCGCGTGCCGGGTGCGAGCAGCTCCGTGCGGCGGTTGCGTCGCGGCTGCCACCGGCAGCGGTGATGCTGCTCTCGGGGCCTCTCTGCATCCGCTCTGTGTCTCATGGGGCTTTCCACCACCTCAGCTAGAAGCACTTGCTTTATTGAAGACTTTTGAAGACCAGGACTTCAGTAACTGGAAATAAATAGCTATAACTTTTGCGTAGAATAAAAAACTATTATTAATACTAAACATGCTAAGAAAGTTTTGCCAAGGTTCTTCACGTTTCAGAGTTACACATTTTTCAAGTTAAGTAATAAGAGGTCCACAGTATGTTGTGATTAAGAGTAACTAAAATAAAGCTGGAGCATTTCCAGTATTGTGGGTTGTGCTGCAAGGCTCGTGCTCGCAGGCTCACCGCAAGCTTGTGCACCGGCCCTGGCACCGAAGGCGATGCGCGCAGCCTCAGACCCGGCTCTGCTCCTCCTCCACGGCTCGGTGCAGGCCTGGGATGAACTTCAGCAGCTGCTTGCGGACACTGGGTCTCCTGCTTTTCCGCGGGAGCGTCCCAAAGTGGAGCGTGCTGCCGGTGCCCTCCCAGAGCGGGGACAGGGAGCCGCTGCTGGCCACGCTGATGCTGCGGTTCCTGCGCAGCGAGGGGCCGCGCGCGGCGCCGGCGCCGTCCCGCGGGAACACGCAGTCGTCGTCCACGCTCGACTGCCGGCTCAGGCTCTCGGCCGCCGAGTCCTCGAAGGCGCCGCCGGCACAGGAGCCGTCCTCGCTGTCCAGCGTCATCCAGCTGAGGCGGCTGCGGGAGCTGCTCCCGCTGGAGCCGCGCGGCGCCCGCGGCAGCACCGGCCCCGGCAGCACGCAGCCGTCCCACTGCGGCGGCTCCTCCTCGTTCCCGGCCCCTGCGGACACGAGCCTGGATCAGCGAGGCAGGACGGCACTTTGGGGGGCAGCCTATGCCAGCACGGACACCCCAGCTCAGCACCGGCCACCCCAGCTCAGCACCAGCCTTCCCAAGGACACCCACAGACACGGGGCCGAGACTTTGTCCATGTCCCCAATTCTGTCTCCTGTCTGCTCCTCTCCCTGGTGGCCTCTCCACCAGTGGGGCACAAGGAGGAGCCTAGAGCCTCCGTAAAGCCGACGTGGAGGACAGGAACATTGCTCCCAGCACCCCAGCTCTTTGCCCTCACAGGAGCTGAGCTCCTAACTTCCCGCCCCGGCAGAATTAAAGCCGTTCCCAGGACAATCCCCAAATAAGAGATTTTGTTTGGTTTTGAAGTCTGAAAAGAGCATTGGAAAAGAAATCCTGCGAGCCGCCTGAGCTCTTGTGCCAGGGCTGGTGCTCAGCCCCTCTGCTCTACGCCGCTGAGCAGCACAAGTTCATTTGTGCCCCAGAAACCTTCCCAGCGCCCAGCCCAGCACCCCGCTAGCAGGGGAGAGCGAAAGTGAAGATGAGGATACAGCCTGGCTCGAGATGCCCTCGAGCGGGCGAGTTTCCGCGCAGCCCCGCGCTGCAGCGAGCACTTACCATGCAGCAGCCGCTGCTCCTGCAAGTGCAGGGCCCGGAGCTCGGCGCACCGCTGCTGCAGGGCCTGCTACGGGGACAGAGAGGGCAGGTGGGCACCGCGCCGCCGGGAACGCGCCGGCGCCCAGCGCGGGCGCAGAGCCATCCCGGGGCTGGCAGCTCCGAGCGCGGGGCCTGCCGAGGCTTTAGCCGCTCGGGAATGGAGCACGTGCATCCCAGAGCTGCGCGGACTCGGCGGCACCGCGGGAGCCCCACAGCAGCGCGGCAGGCGGCCGCCGCCGCGGCTCCCTGGAGCTCCTATAGCCGTGGCACGGAGTGCCAAGCAAACTGAATGGTGTTTGAACTCAGCCATTACTTAAAATGCTAACTAGCTTCTAAGCTGACCAAACTTAAAAAGAGGTTAAAGTTATCAACGATTTTTAATAAATTATAAGGAAACCTGCAAAATTTTCCCAAATGTGAGCTTTGTTTTTTTTCCCCCATGAAGGAAAAATATCTGTGGAAGCTCTGCACATCTGATAGGGCAGAAAAACCTCTGACTTGACAGAAAATGCCAGGTTTGGGGGCCTTCCTAGCCCTGCCGTTCAGAGGCCATGAGCAGTGAGAGCCTGCTCGGAATGCAAGCGCGTTCCTTCCGTTACCTTCAGTAGCTGCAGCTTCGTCTCCAGCTCCATTTTCCTCAGAAGCAAGGCCTCATTGACGGTCTCCAGTCTGCAAAGAGCAAACATCGCCAGTGGCAGAGCACAGAGAAGTTATCTGGGTGTTTTCTGCACTGCTCTTGGAGCTTGCACAGCCCCATGCGATGCCCCATGTGCATCAGCACCCTGCAAGCCACTGTCCTCAGCGTAACTTGTGCAAGTCAAAGTACCCTGCAAATTTCCAAAAATGAGGGGGTGGACAAGAGAAACTGAAAAAAAAAATGAGAGAGAGGAGGAGAAAGTACGGGTTAATTTCTAGAAATGAGCCAGGAGAGGAGGGGGAATGCGGGATCAGCAGGAGGGAGCAGCGCACGCCCTGCGGCGAGCTCTGCGGCAGGACTCAGCTCCCAGCGGGACGGGCCCGCCGGGGTGCAGGGCGCCCAAGGAGCCGCAGCGCCCCGAGCAGCTCCGCTCAGGGTCTCCCATCCCCTTGAAACGGGAGCCTGGGCTGCACGGCCAGAACACCCGGCTCTGGTGCTCAGGACGGCACCGGCACCGCTGCGCGGCACGGCACCTCGGGCTTCCCGCAGCGCGGACCAGCTGAGAGCAGTGCACGCCGAGATGCCCACCTTAAATAATTCCCTGAAGACTTTATCAGGTCCACTATCTGCTTGTGACTGAAGCCGTCAGTGTTCACTCCGTTGACGTTGGCAAGGATATCACCTGGCAGGGTTAAGCAGAGGCCAGATCAGCTTCTTCAGCACACGCAGCCTGCCCTCACTCTCCAGAGCGTTCTCCGGCAGAAAGGCAGAATGCAGCCACCCGCAGAGGCAAAACGTGAATAGTTACCGATCTGCAGGCCAGAAAGATAGGCAGGACTTTCCTCTTGAATTTTGCAGACACAAGTGCACAGCTCCAGGGAGTAATCATTCTGGTGAGGAAATCTGGTGGTCTGTGAATACCAAAGTGACAATGTCGTCAATATAAAAGCCGTGACGATGTTAAAAATTAAAATACTGTCATACAGCCTAATTTGATTTCGTGGTGCTTTTACACTGCTTTAGACAAGCCTGTGATGTGCAGGGTATGCTACCATAAAAATGAGAACATCGAAAGTTTACAACCTAACAATTAGAAACTAAACTCTCATGATAGAGAACAGCAGGCACTAAAATTGACTGCCCAATATATTGTTTTATTCTTTATAGAAACTCAGCAACTACAGTCAAGAATATCATCTATGAGCATGGGTTACTTTTTCGCTCCTACTATAATTGGAATGACACTTGAGCTTCCCAGTCAAAACACAGCAGGGCACAAGCCAAGCTTGCCAGAAGAGACTCCTGCGCACTGTAAACGCTGTGCAGGTCATTGGGTATTGCAAGCGATATTAGTTAATGGGGATGACTAAAGAGCAAGAAAAACTGAAGCTACTTTTGTCCTTCTGGTCTCTTGAACTCATTATCTACATGTCTATCTCTCATCCCTCCTGAAAAAAAGTGCTTTTTATTCTTGATTTATAGATTTGAATATGTATTAAATAATTCTATTTAAAATCCAACATCCGATTATCAACTGTGACATGTATTTAAAAATATAAGTAAAAAATAAGTAAAATAAGTAGAAAATGAAAGCTGATCTGTACCAGCTGCAAAGACAGGATGACTGAAGTTAAAGGTCCTGGAAGTCTAAGATGGACAAATCTACCTCAGATATAAGAAGAAGTGTCAGATTCCCACATTTTCTCAGTCAACATGGAACAAACAGGGATGAAGATCGGGGTGACTTCAGAGTTTATGGGGATAAAGAGATTTCAGATTAGACCAAGAGCAAAACTTTCAGCTGAGCTAAGAGAGGCAAGTGAAGTGCAAGGCTTCTGCACTGCACGTTCAGAGCAGCATGTCTCACTTCCCTGTTTCACCCTGTTTCACGCTAGTGGGTCTCACGTACTGAACGCTCAGAGCAGCTCGAGTGACACTAACCAGACAAGTGGACGGGATCCATCACTCCCAGCCTCAGCCACCTGAAAGGGGGTGTCTAGTCACCCAGGCTGTACCTGGGGATGTCCTCTCAGGTCTGCTCAGCTTCTTCTCACCATGGACTGTGGATGAGCAGACACTGTTAAAGAGCTTTACTTACAGGGGGCTAAAGTGAGGGGAGAGAGATGCTGCGGTGAGACCCTGGTCTGCAAAGACCAGGCAGATCCGGGGCGACACCGCATCAGTCTTGCGTCAAACTCCACCTCAAAATGGGAACTACTAGAAGGATCAGTAAAATGAGAGAAACTCTGGTATTCAGTCATCACTGTGATTTTCAAGAGCTCCCTGCGGGTGGTAGACCTAAAGTTTCACTTCATCTTATTCTGGTTTGCCTAAATGTAAATTATAGTATTGAAATTATAGTCTTGAAATTATAACTTCTAAATAATACCAGAAAAACACTGCCTCTTCATGGCCTAGGCTTTCTAGCAAAACGTTCACGGTGAATGTACATTCAGGAAGAAAATATACCAAGAACAACCCTTGTTAATCAGGAAACGTCACAAAGAGTGAAAATCTGTCCTGTCAGTTTATACAAAAGCCCAATAATTGACTCAATTATTTTCATTTCTGAAAGCTCTCTGCTATTCATGAGCTGAACACTTACCCCCTTATTAATCACAGAATCAAATTTGAAAAAGTTAAGCTTTCCTAATACGCTAATTTCACTGAAAACAGCATTTTCCCTTTGTGCACCCACACAGGTAAATGCTTTGAAAATGCAAAGGAGAAGGAGCGGGGGGAAGGCACCTACGTGCTGGCAGGATGGGAGCAGCTGCTGCTCTCGCAGACTTGGCTAACATGTCTACTGCTTCCTCAAGAACAGCCCAGAACGGCTACTCCTATATATGATGCTGCTGCTGATGATGATGGTGTTTCTATCTCACCACCAGCTGTTTTGCAAAGCTGTCATCATGCTGTCTTTGCACGCAGATAACAGGCAGGGAATACACGTGCTCAGGCGAGCTGCAGCGCTCCGTCAGGTCCGGGCTCCAGCTGAGGCCAGCAGTCATTTAGCAGGAGTCCTGGGATGCTTCTCACAACCAGCCAGCCCCGAAAACGGCAGCGGTTTGTTCTCACCGTGTGGAAGCAACACCAGCACAATCTGTAGTATCGGTGTTGTTGAAAAGCAACAGGCTCTTGTCATCTGCATGTTGTATCTATAAACTCTATCAAGGGAGATTTAACAGGCCTCTTCATCTGCAATACACCTCTGTGAGAAAAATCTACAGAACTAAAATTATAATTTTTATTTCTTCTAATCAGATTTTGGTTTTCTTATTTGATAGTTTAACGACCTCTATATGCAACAGACAATTTATGATTCACTCAAAAAAAAGGCAAGTTGACAGTTATTTATTTAAAAAAAGGACTGTGAATCTACTTCTAAAATAGATATTTGTGTTTATTTTAAAAGCAATAAAAAAATACTACCATAAGGTATTTTTGGAGAGAATTTTTTGACCTATGTGGTTATGAAAATATTTCTGCATGTCATTTTTTTCCCAAAATATTCAAGCATTTGCGGTGTTTCAGCTACGGCGCCGGGTTCCCTGGGTGCCTGTGAGGGCTCTGGGGCCAGGATGGTGACGCTGCAGGGGACGTGTCTGCACAGCACCGCCCAGCGCAGGGACTGCAAACTCCCTCCAGGAAAAGCATTTCACAGGAAACACCTGCAGAGTCTGCAAGCGGAATTTAAAGGGATAATGGATATCCCTTGGATAATAATGGCTGGATCATGCTAGTTAATATTCACATCTATTCGCACCTACCCCCACCTTCCTTTGGGCACTTCCTGGCGAGCTGCTGCCCCTCTCTGCCTAGCGCAGACTTCACCTCATTTTGACCGAGGATGACTGAGGATGTGACACAGTCTGTGCCATATTTTATATTCAAATGACTCCACTCATCATTTATGTCCTACCTGAATTTCAAATCCAAATGTCTCTTTATCTTCTTTGAGGATAGCGACTATGTGTCTGTAAGGAAAACACACAAAAGTGCATGTAAACGCTGGGCATCCCACTTCTTGCACTGTTCATTTCTAAGGACAACGATCCCGTCCCCTCGGTGGCCGCTGCCTGCACTAGCAGTTATTGGCACGCGCTAATACAGCCCAAATGCCCATTTCCCTTTTCATGCAACACCTTAAAATGTCACTCGCATCCCGGGCACGGGGCACCGGCCGACCCTGGCTCTTTGCCCAGCCTCGTCGCCCCTCTAGGGCTGCTGAACTCCAACCATTCCCTAGACCACGTTTCCCAGGAAAGCCTGTTCTGAATATGCAGCCTCTCCTGCCTGTCGAGGGGCACGAGCAGCAGCGCTGAAGGAGAGGAAGATCTCGGTACCTTTGTGGAGTCGAGGAGTCCCCCAGGGAGCTGGAGCGGCTCAGGCCGAGCTGCAATCAGAGAGCAGAGCAGGTCAGAGGCCGGGGGTCCCCGAGGAGCCAGCCCAGCGGGACGGCTCGGCTGTTGGCGTGCCAGCCAACGTGAAACGACGCGGTGGGCGTGCGGCTCTGGGCCAAGGTGCTAATGTGACACCTTCACAAGCAGCTTCTGCAAACTCAACAACACTGATGTCGAGAGAGATCTGCAGCATAAGCAGAGACACTTGCAGCAATATCAGATCTGGAGGCAGGAAGAGGCTATCGAGGGTGATGAAAGAGGCTACTGTGAAAAAAATGCATGAGAACAGGCAGAAAATTTGAGGCTGAATACCCAGAAAATCTTTCTGACTGGAACTCTTCCCAAAGAACCACTGGAGATTTAATTTCTTTGGACCTGTTCAGAAGTGGCAAGGCAGGAAGTGTGGCCTTAAGAAAATTCCTGCGCTCTGAGGGCACAGGAGGCAGCACCTTGGGCCCTGCAGGGTCCAGAATCCAAAACCTTGTTTCTGCCATGCTAAGACCTTGACTTCCTGGTACTTTTCCCCAATAAATCTGTGGCATGGCACACCCGATCCCGTGCCGCACTGTGGGCAGAGCACGAGCGCCCGCACTGCAGTGAGGGCAGCGGCGCTGCCCCTCGGCCAGCTCGCGCGCTCCCCAGGCAGGAGCAGGAGCGAGCCCGGGAGCGCTCCGGAGCGGCAGGACCAGCGCCAAACACTGCTCCTCCCCGGCCCAGGCCAGCGGGGCAATGCTGCCGCGAACAGCTGTGCAGAGCCGGGCGCTATGACAAAGAGCGCGCAGGGCGGTGACGGTGCCGAACCGCAGCACAGCTGCCCGTGAGACACCGACACATGTGTGTGCACGGGCAGGGAGCGCAGACACAGCCGAGCACGGCGCGCTCAGCACAGCCGTCCATGCCTGGCAAGTGTGACCCCAGCACAGCAGGAGCACAGGCTCTGGCACAGCACGAACGTGGTCCCAACTGCGCACCGGGAACAAGAGCCGCAGCTCCCGCCTGCCCCGCGCCGTGGCTGCCCCGGCAGCAGCTCATCCCGCATCCCCGGCGCGGCCCCGTCTGCCTCCGCGCCGCCCTCCTGCTGCTGCCACCGCCGTGCACAGCAGAACCTGCGGTGCGCAGGTTTCCTGGAAATAATCTGTTTATAGTGTTGCAAACATTTGCTATTTCGGCTGCTTCCGGCTACACGAGCAGACAGAAGTCGCTGCTGCTTAGCTGACATTTATAGCAACCACAAAAGTGAGTTTTGCCTGGCTTTAAGTGGAGACTTCCTACCTGCTGCATGGCAAACAAAGACAAAAGGAACAAGTAATCCGGCAGCATTTCTTCTACCAAAATACTCAAAATCTAGGTGGAAATAGCTCATGGCAGGTTCATGCCAAAGTCCAAGGAGGCCCCTACACCAAAGGAAGCTCAGTTCTGAAGGAACACGCGGGTAGCAAGAGCCTCTTAGACTCAGGGCACAGCTGCAAACTGAGAGGCAGTGCAGCGAGAGCGCACGGGCACGTCGTGGGCAGAAGCGCCGAGGGCAGCGCCGCTCCTGGGCCGCTCCCGGGCACGCTGGGCGCTCCGGTAACGCTGTGCTAGGGACCTCGACAGAGTCCAAAACACGCAGTGCTAAATCCGCGCTGCAGAAGCCCCTCTCACACCCTGAAATCAAGCAAGAGCTGCCCCCAGCCCGCCCGGCTCCACAGCAAAGCCTCAAATCGCTCTGGAAGCTCCGCAGCTTGCCCATGTGCAAGGAGCGGGCGGTGGGGCTGGTGGCAGGGTGCACGTACCTGCCTGCTCCCATGGGTGCACGTACCTGCCTGTGCGCGCGCGGCAGCGTCGCAGCCGTGCCGGCCAGCGCAGGAGCGCCGCGGTTGTCCAGCGGCTGCGGCGCCAGCCTCCGCAGGGACATGGTGCCGGGGCCGGCAGCGCCGCGCTCGGCGCAGGAAGCCGCGCGCTGCCCGGCGCTGCGCACGGAAGGGGCCTCGTGACGCCAGCGCGCGCAGATCCCTTCGCGAGGTCCCCAGCGCTGCTCTGCGCGGCTCGCGGCGCCGAGGGCTGAGCGAGGCTCCGCACGCAGCAAAATCTGCTTATTTTGCCATGCCCCACACCGGCACAGCTCTCACCACAGAGCCGCTACGCTCTGAAGAACTCGTGCTTCACACCCCCTTGCCCTGGCGCCTCGCCAGGGCTCCAGGCGGCGGTTCCTGCACTTCCCCGCGTTGGTGCAGGCACCTCCCGGCACGGAGGGCAGCACTGGTGCTGGCGCTGAGGATTCGCTCCCCTTCGTGGCTCCCATCACGGAGAAGCAAGAATTGAGGGCCAGACCCAGAAGGATGGGCTGGAAGTGCTGCCCTGCGCGTGCTGCGGGAGAGAAGGGCACACGTCGGCACCGAGAGGCGAGGATGAAACCTGCAATTGCTCTGAGAGCAGTGAGAAGCGTAAACACGGGGATCGGGACCTCGAGAAACATAAACATGGGGATTGAGTCCCCGGCGGAGCCCAGGGCCTGCACAGAGCATCGGCGCCGCTCCAAGCCCGACTTCCTGCCCGAGAGCCCTCGAGCTCATCGTGTGAGCACAGGGTGGCACGAACCCGGCCCCGGGCTGTGGCATCCCCAGGACACGGAATGGCATTCCAAAATGACAAGGGAACCTGGTCAGTTCTGCAAAGCTTCACCCCGGGTGATCTGCTGCTTTAAAATCAGATTTGGTGCTGAGTTCCCCTCTTGGTAAGGTTTCTGTGCCAGGAGCCAACAAATTTGAGGGTATGCATTCAAATTTATTTTGAAAGTTTTGGCTCTTTTGCTTTTTTCCTTAGAGCTATCCTCCTACCTGCCGTTTGTTTTGGCTGTTGTAATAAGTACCCAGATAGCACAGGAACCCCTGAGCTGACCCGTGGCCCTTCCCTTGCTGCTGCTCTGACCACAGAGGGTGGGTGACCGCCTGTGGCCAGAAATTTCCTTCTGGTTCACAAAGACAGGAACTGTTTCTGCTCTCATGCTGCAGGTAGGTCCATTTTTGGACTGCAGAGCAGTGCACCACACACCAGCGCCTCAGTCCAGAGTGAGGGTCAGCAAAGGTACGAGCAGGGATGCATGGATCTCAAGCTAAAGGATAAGCAAAGCTGAAATCCTGATGATTGTCTCCTCTGTGTGACAGAGCTGATTGATTGTAATCGTGTTTCTGACACACTCGGCTTATTCCTCCCCACTTCCTCCGTGTGCAGGGCGCCGTGGGGCCCTGCGCTTCCTGCCGAGTGCAGGCAGCACCTCCGCGTCACAGCACCGTTCATGGTGCCGCAGCAGTGCTCGTAGTGCCGCAGCATTGCTCACGGTGCTGGAGCATTGCCCGCAGTGCTGCAGCACCGCTCATGGTGCCACAGTATCGCTCATGGTGCTGCAGCACCGCTCATGGTGCTGCAGCATTGCCTGCAGTGCTGCAGCACCGCTCATGGTGCTGCAGCACCGCTCATGGTGCTGCAGCACCACTCATGGTGCTGCAGCATTGCCTGCAGTGCTGCAGCACCGCTCATGGTGCCGCAGTATCGCTCACGGTGCCAGCCCTAGCTGGGGGGACATGGCGGCTGTGATTAGCAATGGGATGGTCTGCACGGGATGGATGCTGTTTTCTATGGCTTTCTGCCCTGCATTCTATTCCCTTTTCCTTCCATGTGAAAGTGCTGTCTGAGAGGGCAGATCCCTTGGGTAAAATGCCGAAATGGAGCTGCCAACCAGGGGCCAGGAGGGTGCCCGTGAGCCGTGCTCGGCGCCAGCACCGCCGACGCTGCTCCGCTTCGCAGCAGGAAGGGCCCGTATTTCGCTCCGAGTTTTACCGTACCTAATACAAGCATTTCCCTTATGAAGCACAGCTCGATCAAACCTTAAAGTTTAAAATGTTATGTGAAAATAATCTGAATTCAGGTTTTTGACACAGAGTCAGCATCCAGACCCATCCCACTCCTAAACCACATCACTACCTCTCTACCCTGCTCCCCAGATAGCAACCCCATGTTATATTAAACAGAAGGAGCAACCAAATTAGCTCCCGCACAAATGAAAATCTATCTGAATTAGAACAAGTTAATTTAAAGTACAATTTAAATTTAAGAGGAAGATTTATAAAATAGTTAGTAAATACCATTCAATAATACACACAATTCAATTCCAAATAAAACTGCACAATCTAGCGTTTTCCTGTCTGTATTCCAAAAGCAAAGAACAGGGGGAAAAAAAGAAAAACAGTGCCCATGAGCAAGGCATCTCTGGAGTGGTGCTGGGGTTGCTTCCCGGCCCTGCGAGGGACTTTCTGTAGGGTTACACAGGCTGTACGTGCTTTGGGTTTCCTGGCTCCGTAAGCGGGTTTTCTAGCAACCCTGCAAGGCAAGACTGTTGACACAGCATTCCCCTCCCCGCCACAAACACATTGCCAAAACCCTAGCCTAAACTGAAGTTAGGTAAAAATCCAGATTTCACAAAGGACAGCAGTGACAGAGCAGGCAGGAAAACAATATTCTTGAATTACCCTGTGGATCTCCTAGGGAAGCGGCTTCTTGGGGGCCTGGAGAGATAGAGCTTTTTTCTTCAGCCTGAAGCTGATGAATTAATTTGCAGCTGACGAGCAGCAAGTCCCTGTGGTCCCTGGGCCTCTCCTTGCATACGGATTTGTGGACCGTGCTAACAAAACAAGAGCTCTTGCACAAAGGTGTCAAGTTTGCCCTTCGCTCCCAGACCCGGGGAAGTGTCTGACCAGTGTTTGAGGGGACTGCAACCGTCCCGATGGTTTTATGGATCCTTCACCTTCTGCTGCTTGTTCAGAGGGCAAAGGAAAAAGCAAATCTAGCTGGGAGGAATGTGGCTGCCTAATTTTCCTGAGGAAAATGCCCTTTATCTGAGGGACGGTGCCCGCTTGCGCGCTGCAGCAGGCGGAGTGGTGCCGAGAGCCCCGTGACTCAGAACCCCTTCCTCCTCTGCCTCCTCTTCCTCCGAGAACAAGCACAGCGCATCTTGGTTCCTCAAGCAGCCCGCTTCCACGGTTCGAAACCAGGTGACTCATCTGCAAACAAGCTGAGAAAAGAAACAAACAAAATCTCCCATGAGAACAAAGAGAGGCAGGGGAGGCCGGGCTGCCCACGCCGGGGCTGGCGCCCCGCACGCTGCCGGCCCCAGCCGCAGGGCGCCCCCAGAACGCCCGGCTCAGCTCTCCCTGCACCCCCCGTTCCCTGTCGTGTCCCGGCACATCCCGGGACCTGAAGCCATCCCGGGATGTAACCTACCATGCTGGCCCTTCCTGCTGACAGGCATCTGCCCGGCACAAATGCCAAATCACACGTACGGGCAGGGTCTGCTCTGGAGGGAAAGCAGAAATCCTCGTTCTCCGCAGTCGCCTTGTACCCCAGAGGGCAGCTGCTTCTCTCTTCCATAGCAAGCGGATCCTGCTGGATCCTGACCTAGGAGCTCTGAGCTTTAGGGGAAGGGTCTCTCCCGTGCAGCACTCTGTACAGAGCAGCCAGTTCCCAGGTTACGGGCAGCAGCGGTGTCTGCAGAGGGATGCTCTGCTCTGCGTGGAGCACTGCACAGAGCAGCTAAACCCCAGTGGAGCACCGCACGCTCCACCGGCACGGGGCCTCTTCCCGTGCCCAGCGCCGCAGGAACAGCCACGGTCACAATGTCAAATGCCCCTGGCCAAGGGCAGCGCCGGGGCCCCCCGGCACAGCTCGTGCAGGAGGAGCAGCTGCTCCAACCCGCTCCCTGCTCAGGTCGCTTCCGTCACGGGTCTGGGCTGGCTGCCCCTCGGCAGCCCCTTCCTGCGCTCGGCTCCGTCCTGGCTCCTGTTCCTTAAACGTTTTCTTTGGCCTCATTTACTGGGTCAGATTTCTAGCTGCTTGGAAAGGAGGCTAAGAGCTATTGTGGCATTAAGGGACCAATAAATAAATTAACAAAATTAATTGGATGAACCACTACAGACTCGGGGAGGATTTGTATGCATATAATGAAACCAGAATTCAGTTCTTATTCAGAATTCAGATCTTGCTGAGAAGGCAGCAGTAGCGGTCCAGAGAGCAGGTCACATGTGAAGAACTTCCTGCACTGTGAGCCAGGCTGGATTTCTGGGAGCACCTAACTGGAGTGATGAAGCCTGCTGCATGCTACCGAGCAAGTATTCTCCACACCACCAAGCAAGTATTCTGTCTGTCTGCGGTTTGGGCAAAAAGGCTTTACAAGCACCCCTCAAAACACAGGCAAACCACAGGGCACTACTCTGGCTCACTAGCTGGGCTGTTGTACAACCAGATTTTGCACTTGACACCCTGTAACAAGGCAGAGGAACGGCCTGAGCACACACATGAGGAGTCACAGAGTGTCTCAGCATTGCTGCTCATCAACCTCACTGCTCTGCTCTGCTCTCCCTAATCAAAACATGCTTTTTTTCACTATACAGAAGATGAGATACAAGGCTGATTTGCAGCAAATCTTGAATAACAATACTTTTGCCAAGGACTGAAAGTGTACTGAAAATGTTAGACTGCTAACCTCTATAGAACCTTAGTTTACATGATTTCCTATTAGGTTTTCAAATACCTGCAAAAATATAAGATAACAATCCTGGGCAATAATGCTAGTGATTCTTTTATATCAGTAAATTTCCCATACCATTCATTTAACTCACCAATGAAATCAGGAAGGTATTTTAAAATAAATCTAACAGGATGCAGCTTCAGGTGCAGTAGCGGAAATCCAGAAACAGGTGAAACATCTGCACAGTTCATTTTTGAGCAAATGTATACCAAATACACAGCAGTATTTTAATGAAATTGAGTAGATTTAGATTGTATTTATTCTGCAATATAATTCAAAAATACTTTAAAAGTTGAGTTTATAGTCAATATAGTATACTATATACAAAATATACT